CAGTTTTCTATCTCATGGACTTTTGAATAGCTCACCGTGCTGATCTGAAAGGAACGTGGTCATCGACTAGAATCGATAGTAGGTAGCGTGGATCGGGTCGTTGGGGGGTTTACTTTCACATCATTGGTCTTCGTAAGCCGGTGAAGTCAAGAGAACCCAACCCGGAACCGATATCTCCACCCACTCCTCATCTAAACCCGAAAGCTGTTTGTCGCCGTCTCTTTTTAAGCCGAGCGAGATGCGCCGTCTTTCGTCCGTAGTTTTCTGCGTCTGTCGGGTCCGGCTTCGGAATCTAGTCGGAGTTTCTTGAGGGATGGCCCGGCACTCTGCCGGGCAGGCTCGGTTGTCATCGGACTGAGGTATAATTGGAAATCTCTGTCCTGTCATCTCTGACAGTCACGTCAGATTAAGTCATGCGCCTGTCAGTCGAAGATCAGTTGTCATCGCTGTCGAGATCTCGTGGTCGTTCAAACAAAATCTCGCGCTGTCTCTCTTGCTGTGACGAGAAACAGGAGTCGGTAAAGAAAGAAGCGATAGAATCGAAACGAAAGCAGAGGTTGAGACAATGGGTGCTTTTAGGTGGACAGCATTTTGTTCGGCTTACCATTGATGACATGCCACCGTTCATCCTGCCATCCACCCTCCATACTGACCCTCGTCTTCGCAACCTCTCTATTTCCAGTTCAGTGTTATATTTGACGTTTCTTTTCTCGTCTGGACAACTGATACATCGTATCTTTCCCTCTCTCTCATCTCTCTTCAATTCCTCTCTCTTTATTATCGTTTATTTAGATTTCTTTATCTCTGTATTTCTACCTTTCTTTTTTTTGCCTTTTTTCTTTCTGTTTTTTTTTTTTTTTTACCTGTTGTCTTTTTCGTTATTGTTCTCACCTTTGTAAGCGATATCCTTATTCCAGATTCGATTCTTACAAACTCTTTTTTCTTTTTCTTTCCGTTCTTACCGTTTTCCTTTTCTTCTTTTCTTTTCCCGGATTTGCTGCCCTGTCGTTTCTTGTCTTAATTGCAATTTTTCTAGAACAAACGCTCCTATTTTAACTTTCTTCCATTTTCTTGTTGTTTGATTTGTCCGCTAAATAATCTCCTTTGTTTTTCCCTGAATCTATCTCAATTTTCTTTTCGTGTTTGCGTTATTCTTTCTTTCTTTCTTTCTTTCTTTCTTTCTTTCTTTCTTTCTTTCTTTCATTTTTCTTTTTTGCTTTCAGTCTTTTTTCTTTCTTACTTTCTTGGTTTATTTATTTATTTTTCGTCGAATGGCTTTACTAATCTTTTGTTTTTTTTTCTTAGTTTCCTTTTTTTCTTTCATCGTCTTTATTTTTTACACACTCCATTAATCGTAACTTATGCTAATAATTATTTCTTTTTTTTCAATTGGTTTGTTTGTTTGTTTTTTTATTTTTTGTTTCTTTCCTTTTTTATCTTTATTTATCTGTTCCTGCATTAATCGCCTCTTCTCTCTGTCAATGTTTCTTTCTTTCTTTCACTTCTTTTCTTTTTTTTTATTTGTTCTAATTTATTTTCTCTTTACTTTATTTCTTTTTTTTCTTCTTTGTTTTCAATTGCCTTTACTAATTTTTGTTTGCTTATATATTAATTTGTCTTTATCTTCCTGCATTATTCTTTCTTTCTTTCTTTCTTTTTTTCTTTCTTTCTTTCTTTGTACTAACTTCTTTTCCCTTTTTGACTTTCCATTCGTCTTTCTTTATTTATTTATACGTTGAGAGTCGTTTCTTTCTATAAAAGTTACTTTCCCGCACCGCTCTTATCTGCCTTTCTCCTTTTCTTCAATTCTCGTTTTCACCATTGTCCTTTCGTACTTCCTTTCCTTTTTTTTTACTTTGCCTTTACAAAAGCTTTTAGCTTTTGCTAGCTCTCACCTTCCATAGCTGCAAAGAATCATGTCATGGCATATGTGAGGGAGGGAGCCGAAATATCTTCATCTCTTTCATAATAATCTTTTCCATAACCAAAGTAGGTTACTTGCATTACGTTGACTCTCTATCTATCTGGTGTGGTGTACTGGATAATGGTTTGGCATGAGAAATCGGAGAGCCGTGTTCGAATTCCAGTCGGGTTCGTTACATTTACTTACGCCCAAATAACCTTGGGGAAGGTATGGAATCATCTCTTCTCCTCGCTATCTATGAGTCGCATAGCAGGTGAGACTGGACTCAATATCCTTGGTTGGCAACATGTCTACCGCAGAAGGAATCGACAGCCTAATGCAAGGGGGGGTACTCTTCTGCTTAGTAAGTCACGTATGGGACGATTGACATCATATCTATCTATCTATCTATCTATCTATCTATCCATCTCCCTTTATTCATATCTATCTCTACACGCACACACCCACATATCTGTTTACATCCGTCATTTCATATTTGACTATCTATGTAATTTTCCTTTGTTCATATCTATCTATCTCCACACACACACACTCATATATATATACAAGATTTTTTTGGAAAGTTCCTTGTCTTGATCATTGGGCTATTTCATTTGCTCATAGATTATATATATATATATATATATATATATAAGACAAGTAAAAGACTATCGCTATGTGTTATGAACGAGGATAGGTTATGCATTGCTTTCCTCTGTATCTCTTACATTAATCTCTCCTTTGAGTATCAGATTCTCCAAGCCCTGTTTCCTCATGATGTGATCTATAAATTCCAATTGTCTCCTCCCGATATTAAATATCAGTGTCATTTTTATTTTCATTGTCTCTAGAACTTGGTTGTTACACACACACATGTTCGGTCTGTGATATTTTCATCATACGGGAACCATTCCACTATCAATCTCAAGAAAAACTTATTGATCTTAACAAGCAAATTCTCGTAAGCAGAGAAGCCATTTTCTTCTGAAATCAATGAACATTATGGCCTTCTTTGCAAAAAAAAAGTTTCAATGTCTATTTCTTACTGGAGAATTCAACAATCGAATAATTGTGGAGTACAAACGTTATATATAGTCGGAATGTCTGTATAAAATTAGGAATGGAAATTGAAGCTATCTTCGTTTCATCTTTGGCTTTTCGTCTGAATTTGTCTGTTTATCCTGACAGGGACGAAAATCATAACTGGGATGGTGATGCGTAAAAAGATACTATTCCACAGCTGCCATTTAATTTCGTTTCTGTCGTTAAATAAATCAATCAGTTCATCTCTGTCTACTTCTGTCTCTATCTATCTCTCGCCTTATATAAATAGGCTTATATATATATATATATATATATATATATATTACGCATATCACCCCAAGAGAGCGGGAATGCCACTAGTACGCAATGGGTTAGAGCGAGTGAGAGCAAGAGTAAAGAGAGTTGTTTGAGGAAAGGAGATAGAGAAGGACTGGGATCAGGATCAAGTCATAAGAATATGTCGAGTGACATTACATTTGAATATTTGAAGAGAAAAGGAGTTCCACTGTCGGGAAGTGCGAGATAAGAAGCTGTTGGAGTAGAAGAGATGGCTACATTTAATCGTTTCGACAGTGAAAGGGTGGGACTGAGATGCCAACCTAGTAGCACGGTTAAATTCATGCATTTTGGGAACTAGGGAAATAACTGCTCAGAGCAGGTGGCATGAAAATATTTGTAGAAAAGACAGAGGGAAGTCACAGCACGTCTGTGAGAAAAATGACTGTAGGCGAAATGCCAGATCAGAACATATCACATTATATACCCGTCTCTAGATTTTGTCGAGGACCTCAACATGAACAGCGGGGGGTACTAGACCATATATGGCAGCAGTGTTTAATGCAATGACGATTGATTCATTTGTAGATTTGAAGGATGTACTCAAGCGAGAAAAACCCTCTGGCGCGACACAGAGAACCAACTTTCCTTGCGGTAGATGATGCTATATATATATATATATATATATATATATATATATATATATATATATATAATTTTATAAAAAAAATTATAACATAAGTATGTTATAAAATCACTAAAAAATAGCCATTTTGTTTCAACACACTTGTGTCTTATCAAGTGATGATTTGAAAATAAAATAAAAGGTTTTATTTTCAACATCATCACTTGATAAGACACTTATGTTATAATTTTTATAAATAATAATTATATCTGCTCTACTTTGTATTGAGCACTCTTTTAAGAATAGTAATTGTTGGTTATTGGAATTCATTCCGAATATACCAATTATATACTTGGGTATATATATGTTTATATATATATAGTCTTAAGGTGTGCTATATTTATGGGATAAAGTGCTCAATATCAGAGATAGGGCGTTTATGAATATAAAAGTGAAAATTGAAGTCAACACTCAGAGGCGACAGTCTATTTCATCCTAGATGCAATCGCCAGGCCTAACTTTTGCATCTAGCATGAAACAGACTGTCACCTCTAAGTGTTGACTTCAATGTTCACTTATATATATATATATATATATATATATATATATATATATATATATATACACTGCAAAAACAAATTATTATCAAGATAACTTTTTTCTAATATTTCAAAAACCCTCCAATCAATTCACACAAAATTTTCACACGATATTGGTAACACAGACCTGCGCAATCAATGAAATTTTCGTATTGATCTGCGCAATGTAAACAAACTGGCGCCATATTTGTTAAAGAAGGATACTGAGAAATCCATGTACGTAAAATAGAAACAAGAAGGACATATACTTATGCGAAAATAATGACATTTGGTAGAAGGCACCTGATCTCGAGAAGTCCAAACCTTCGTCAGCACCAAAAGTGTTGGAATCGGTTTAATATCGATGCCAGCGTGACAGTAGTAACGGGGACTGGAAATTCTTTGTCTCTGTTCATATCCATACGTATGTGTATGGACTCCTCACATATAACCGACCTTGTGTCACGTCTTTGATTAGTGGAGCGTCTGGGTAAATATTTTATGTAGCATCAATCCTCTTATATGGCAGTGAATGCTAGACAATCTCCTCCCAGTAGAGGAAAAGGTTTGAAGGAACAGAAATATGGTTCTACAGAAGGATGTTGAAAATATCATGGATAGAATATGTGAAATGTGAGCTACGACGAACTTCTAGTGACACTGGTAACAAAAATGACACTAGGAAGAGACAATTGAAATTTATATGAGACGTAATGATTAAAGACGGCTTGGAGAATTTGATTCTAACAGGTATGACATGACCCTCAATGTTGACTGGTAAATCAGACGTATAATGAATTTAATAATAAATTTTTTATATGAGTATTTGTGTTTCTCTTCCACCTCCTTCTCTTTTTTTGTTTTACTACCTATCTAGATTGAGTTTTATTTCGATGAAGAAAGGTCAGGAAATGAATTTGGGGTCGCTTGACAACAAACAGAATGACCTCCTAAGGAAAAGCAGGAAAGGATTTGGGGGTTGCTTGGCAACAAACAGAATGACCTCCTAAGAAAGTGAGTAAGAATCGGTCACCTATGCTGACGTGACACATCACCAAGTGGGATTTTGTTATTGTAACTTTAGCTTCCCGATTACCTACAACGATAACAGTTCGTGAAAAAAATAGTCACTCCTCATGTGATCTTGAGGGACAAGAAATACAACCAAAAACCTATTCCATTACTTGTTACATAAGGAATAAGGAAATTTCCTGTCATATATTTTGGATGTATTGGACTATTTAATGGGTAAAGGATAAGGGAAATTGTACGCCCCAAAATACAAAGAATTCATCTTACTTTCATTTCGGATGGAATCCAATTAACTAAGTGGAAACGGAAAACAATCATCATTGCCAAATTCCATATTTCAGATTGTGGAAGAAAGAACAACCAACATTTGTGAACATTCTACAGCAACTTTGTCAATTCGAACATTCGACTCCAAATTCCCGAAACCCAAATGTTTGAAATGACATCCAATGTCAGTTAAATGATCTTTTATTAATTGTACGTCTGTCATTTCATACTTTTCTTACATTTTGCATTTTGAATTTTGTTATATAAAATTTATTTACAAAAGTTGTTTTTTATTCTTTTTCTGGGAACCTGGGGTTTATAACTTTATATGTTGCAAATTTGTAACACAGGCAAGTGGGAGTGAAGAATATAGCGAAAAACGTACCTAACGAACGAATGTAAATGATTGGCAAAAAAAGAATTAAAAGTGATTGTAAAAAGACAAAACTTACTAAAAGCTGCAAAAGAGACGATGTTGTGGAGAACGATCATTGCTTGACTCCTGAAGGGACACGACACACAGAAGAACAACAATATGTTATGACTTTTTTTTTAAAATGCGTCGGTCCAAAATCATTTCATTATTATTAATAATTATAATAATTAGGGAAGAAAACGATTAAAGAAGACACTATTTAACAATGTGAAACAATATTTAAAGAGTATGCCTGTTTTCTTGAAGTTATCTCTCTCTCTCTCTCTCTCTCTCTCTCTATATATATATATATATATATATATATATATATATATATATATATATATATAGAAAAAGACAATATTTATAAGGTAATTTTAAAAGCAAAAAGGTAAAATAAAAACAACCGGTTTCGTCCCAGGACTTATCAAGTTTATTTATTCTGAATTTAAAAAAAAACGTGTAAATTAATTTTTTAATTAACGAATGTAATCGAATGGGGGGAATTATGAATAAGTTTATATATATATATATATATATATATATATATATAAAGAATTTGTGATTTCCTTTTGTCCGTCCGTCCGCTCTAAAATAGCCGTACATCGACCGATCGGAAACAAATTTTGGGGAGACGCAAACAGGTAAGGGGCTACAAAGTACAATTGGTTTGATTAGGGTGCATAGCTTAGTACAATAAATGTTCATTAATTATTTGAAAAAATTTTTTATTATTTAACATACAAAATATTCCCACTATTTTAAAAACAATTTAATGATTAAAATTACAAATTCTTATTTAATAAAAATGTAACACTGTTTTTGCATATGTTAAATTTTTATATACAAGAATCCAGTTTCCACTTCTCCCTACGTTTGCGATTACTATAAAAACCACAAAGCCAAACACTTGCAAGAGTTGGAATTTGGCTCTAGTAGGATATATTTACGCATGACCAGTTGTGTTGCATGCTCAAGAATAAGAAATACTAATAATTTATTTTTCGCTGTTAAAAAGGAAAAATAAAAAATAAAAATCTTTAAAATATTAATATGAACTCCTATAAAATTAAATTAAATTTAAGAAATTATTAAACTGCAAAGTAGTGTTTTGTCAAACTAATTTTTAAACAAATCAGCTTATTCAAATTTCATCGATTAGTTTACTAAATTGAACGAAATTGTAAATCTCGACAAAAATGTTAGCGATAACTTCAACAATATTAAATACTGTGAGGATTTCACCAGGCGGGATCTTGTTGCAAAATCATTCTAGTTTAAAAAATCAATTCATGAAAAGTAAAGGTAGTGTTTAACAATATTTTGAAAATTGTGGGTAGCAGGGAGGCAAAGAATCGCG